GAAATCTCGCTCATCTCTCATATAAGAGCGAAAAGCTCTCGGTACTCATAGACCCGACACTCACGACAGTCGAAAGCATTCTCAAAAGATAACGCAAACGCCTGCATAAGCCGCACTAGTAGCTCCATTAGCTAAAACATACTGGCAGAGAGCATGCTTCCGATAACTTATTCACGACTACATGGCAACAACAAGGGGGAGCGGCGAGGCCAGAAACAGAAAGTGTGGACAATAGACTGTTTGTTATTTAATTAAGCAACAACTTTCTATCAAACTTCACAGGAGGGCATTAATGTGAATTTGGCCATTATGAGAGTCTCATCCGACTCCTCAATCTAGAAATCCACATTTACCTCCTGTTGGGATGCCTATAATCACTTGTCTAAAGTTTTAGTAAGAGGAAACGCCATTTGGAGTCCAAAAGATGTGCTAGTTATCCAAGCATAAACACTAAAGACGGAAGGACTCCATGCCCGACAACCAGACATCCAGACTCAACTTAATACATAAAACAAAACTAACAGCGCATTGTGACGCTAAAAAGCCTGGGAAGACGCAGCACTGGGCAAGCCGTTAAGAGCATAGAGACGTTAGACAAGAAAACTTGGAAAAAACGCCGGGGGGGGGGGTTAAATAAGGTCACTCTATCGATTAGTTATATCCATATGGTCCGACACTAAAAATCATTACAGATCTAAAACTCCTTCTCACTCAATCCCAGATAGTGTGTATGTTACGAAGAGTCAGGCGGGTGAAAGAAAGAAAACTGACACTCGTCAGAGGACAACCGCTTTAACCGATATCTCACATCCCCACCTAAATCCCAAAGGCGGAGAATAACAAGCATCCTAGTTAGGATTCAGATTTTATGGCCGACAATGTACCATACTCCAGTGACTAGTGGTCTGTCCCCAGAGCGACAACATGCAAGGGCGTTCAGGCAATAAGCACTGCAGGCTGTGACAATACGATCATCAGACAGAGCGAAGCACGAAGGCGGAATGGAGAACACAACCTCAATAACTACACTCGACACTCGTTAGGCAAAGCGATAATACGAAAGATATCAACATGCTTCGACCTAGCAGTTGATCATCCCCACACCTATCTCCTTCTGACCATATACTAGTCATCACGCGGGTAGGTACATTTCAAAAATTGAGGAGTAGGTGAATTAAGATAATTTATTAAGTGAAAATTGAATTAAGAAATGCGTAACCATGTGTAGTTTACTCTGAAGTCACCGCTTGATCTCCGCGAGTGATCCTTGGAGGATTTTCCGTCTGATCCGGTGGAATCGCTCGGGGGAAAGCGGGGCAGGGGGGAGGGGGTGGTGTTAGCGTGATTTTTGCCGCGGTGCTGTGGCTTTCGCACGTGCACACACGCTGTAACGAAACCATAGTGGTTAACGACCCGTGATTTTTTTTATCTTTCGGACCGTGTGTGGGGTCCTCACACAGAGGAAAAAATCGCGCCGACAATTTTAAAATGTCTCGTGTGAACCAGGCTTTATCTCTCAGGACAAACTATCTGCACAGAAACAAAGAAACAGGGGTTAAGTACACTGAGGGAGTAGAATAAGGGAACACAGTGCAACAAATAGGCGGGCTGGTATTTCACTGGTATAAGGCAGACAAGGGAACGGAATGTGAACAAGAGGCAATGAGATACACAAAGGTAAGTACATAATAAAACAGGAATTCAAGTCTCAGACTGGGGTGTGGACACTTAGGGGCCGATAAACCTGATTTGAGTGTTTTCAGGCTGTTCTGGGCTTGGAACTTAGGTATTCATGTTTCCAAAACACTGATTCGCCAACACAGATCTGAGAATACTGATCATCCGCCACCACCACAAACAACACACTAGAAATGCTATGATGAAAAACAAAGTGGTACCTTAATGGGAGATGAAGATAAATGTAAATAAATGTTTGATGTAAAGGAAATGTATATATAACGGATTAGATAACCTTTATCGATCCGTTAAATGGGCAGATTTCCAAGTTGGCAAATTATAAAAATCCGTCTTTGAGCATGCGTTAGCAAACTAACCTCACCCCATTCATTTAACTACATGTGATAGGAGTTTCATTTGCAAAAAGTACCACAGTGGCCAAAAAAGGATGGTCACAGAAAAGTACTCCCCTCTGGAGAGTGACAGCATATATATGTGAGTTGTTAACTAGAGCCGTATTTTTGGACCATACAATAAATCCTGTTTTTTGGGGAGGGATAGAATAAATGAGAAGAAATTCATTGGGATATTTCTGTTGCCCTGTACGACCAAAAATGGTAATGGTGAGAAGATTCCAAGCATTCAGCGTACGTCCTCACCTACTTTTTTGAGGAGGGACCCGCCCTACTGGTTGATAGATGATCATAAATGTTGTTAAATGTCCTGGATCAACACGAATCAAATTAAAACTTTTGCTACCTCCAGGACTCCATTGAAAAAGAGGTTCTTGATCTCAATGGGACTTTCCTGGTTAAATTAAAACTATAATTTGTTTACTTTAATTGTAATCTGATATTGAATCTTTGCCCAATATGCCTTCAAAAGGATGTAATATGTTTTTCAAAATATTTTCCCCTTCTGTATCCACTTCCAGTGCTGGTAAGTCTTTGTTGTTGGGATTAGGGCTCTGGGGATTTGCCCACGCCAATATTTTTTATCCCAAATCAATAAACGCAATATGATAGTCCACTCTGGTCCCCAATGTGTCGTTTAATATCAATGTAAATGATTGTATTTAGTTCAACCCCTGAAGTAAAAGTGCAGTCTTTTACTTTCACAGCGTTTAATGCTAAAACAAGGAATAATCACTCATAGACAAGCAACACTCGCTGTTTGATAATCAATTAAAGAACCAAATATTGAAAAGACGAGTAGAAAACGTGTTACTTAAATTACTTCTGGGACCATGCGGAGGCTTATCTGAAATGAGAGCGTAAGAAAACAAGACACTTATTGAAAAAAACTAATAAATGAGCCTTCTACAAAAGAGGCTACACCATATTGTTCACATGCAGCTGGAGATTAGGCACGCTCTGGGGCGATTTTATTAAAAATGGAAACAAGGAGGGAAAGCAGATTCCTCTCCCAGCTGTTGTTTGCCTCCTCTGCCTCATCTCTGTGAGCTATAGCAGCCTCCTCTGCCTCATCTCTGTGAGCTATAGCAGCCTCCTCTGCCTCATCTCTGTGAGCTATAGCAGCCTCCTCTGCCTCATCTCTGTGAGCTATAGCAGCCTCCTCTGCCTCATCTCTGTGAGCTATAGCAGCCTCCTCTGCCTCATCTCTGTGAGCTATAGCAGCCTCCTCTGCATCATCTCTGTGAGCTAGCAGCCTCCTCTGCCTCATCTCTGTGAGCTATAGCAGCTTCCTCTGCCTCATCTCTGTGAGCTATAGCAGCCTCCTCTGCCTCATCTCTGTGAGCTATAGCAGCTTCCTCTGCCTCATCTCTGTGAGCTATAGCAGCCTCCTCTGCATCATCTCTGTGAGATAGCAGCCTCCTCTGCCTCATCTCTGTGAGCTATAGCACCCTCCTCTGCCTCATCTCTGTGAGCTAGCAGCCTCCTCTGCCTCATCTCTGTGAGCTATGCCTCCTCTGCCTCATCTCTGTGAGCTATAGCAGCTTCCTCTGCCTCATCTCTGTGAGCTATAGCAGCCTTCTCTGCCTCATCTTGTAGAAAAATTTGCTCTTTAATGTCTCCAGAGAACACAACGGGAAAAACAGCAGCTGATCAAAAATACAAGTTCTTCAGTTCAACCACTTTTTCAGAAAAAACATCACTGTTTTATATCAGGGGCCGCACGTGCAACCTGGGATCTCACGCACTCTCTGTTAACTGAAGTATTTAAACACAATACGGTTACAATAACCGTTTCTATGTATTTAAACAAGGACAATTATTTCTCCAATATTAAAGAAAAGTTTAGACATTTATTCAAAGTGCTACTCTAGCAGCCTCATGGACTTTATTTTAATTATTTAAAGATGCATATCTGCACAGTGTACCCCTCTAACTCCTGAATCTACAGCCTCAGACCTGGATCTTCAGCCTCAGACCTGGATCTACAGCCTCAGACCTGGATCTACAGCCTTAGTCCTGGATTTACAGCCTCAGACCTGGATTTACAGCCTCAGTCCTGGATCTACAGCCTCAGACCTGGATCTACAGCCTTAGTCCTGGATTTACAGCCTCAGACCTGGATTTACAGCCTCAGTCCTGGAGGTTTTGAATTTCAGCTGCATAAATGTGAAAGCGCTGTCACTCCATGTTGAGTCTTGACTCTGGGCATCAGCAGGAGGCCAGTCCTGTGCCTCTCAGATTGCTGTAGTAAGTGTGTGCGTGCCTGTAGTATATGTGTACACGTGAAACTTGGGTTGGCCTCCTGGATGTCAAAGTAATTGTAAAATACTAATTTCATCATATACAGCAAGTACAGTCAATGTACCCGTGGAAAGGTCAACAAATGTAATCCTGGACAATGTTTTATCTCTTTAAATTGTTCTAAATGAGAATCATGGAAACTTATTCAAACCAAAATACGAAACATTGTCTTCACCCAAAGCACAAGACACCCACCGATAAGTGTAGTTTACTTTATTCCCTGCTTTGAAAATAGCTGCAAAGAACACTCTCCTACAATGTATTCGGGCTTCTGTGAACAATACTCATCAATTCTGTCGGTCTACTGTTACTTGGCAAAATGTATTGGCACCAAAAAAATAAAAATAAAGCCGCACCTTAGTATAAGCCTCTCTCTTAATCCTGAATTTACAGGATAATCAAAGGAAATGCCTTCTATTCCGGCTCCGACCAGAATTAGTTTGAGACCCCTACTGAGAAAAAAGCCAAATCTGGGACCAAAGTGAGCCATGCCGAGCCTAAGCGAGTCACACAACCTCAAGCAGGAGTGAGGCTAGTGCACAGGCTCCTGGGACCCTCTCTGACAGCCTGCAGAACCTTCAGCTCATTCTCCACCAGGCCTTAGACCAGACCAGTGCATATGATTAAGATCGTCATCAGCCACGTCCTGTTCGCTTTCGTATCCATCCTCCTACAGCTCTCATTAACAATGTGTCTTCTCTCTGTTCCGCACTTTACTCTGTGGGACCGATGGCTGCTGTCTCCCCGAGTCCTGTGTCGGATTAGCTTCAGTCACGACTCTTGGGAATGACTGTTTCCCTCCAGCGCTCTGCGGGAAATGACAAGGAATTGCCTGATCACAACTGAGCACACAATCACGAGGATGAGGGCACCTTGCTCCAGCTCACGGTCGCACCAGGAAGACACTAATGTTCTGGGATGAAGGGAGATGACCAGATTTCTGCAGATTTGGTCAGTTCTTATAGAATACATAGGATAATCCTGTCTTCTCAAAAGGTGTTTCTTCCAATAGGTTTAATGTCCTAAAATTCTATTTAAGTTGGAGTTTGCAGGTGCCAGTTAAACTATGGGAACATTTCAGAAATAAATATTGACAAATAAACTGTCCAAATGTTTGCAATAAATGTCTTGGAAAATGTTGTCTCGGAGGACTACAAAGCCAACTACAGATCAGAGAATCTAACATTTTGAACCATAGACTAAATATTAACAGACGTAGTCACGCCTATCTCCCCCGTTGAAACTAATGTGCCACCACTTTTGGCATCTATGGGCAGTTTCAAAATGCCGCAGGGGCTGGAGAATGTGAAAAAACGCATTGGCGCATGCTCCCCATTCATTTAAACGAGTGCCTTCAAAATTCAACAGCAACTAAACTAGACTGGTCCAAAAAAATTCACTCCCTCAGCATTGACACACATGTGGAACGTAGCTTTGGGCCAAGGGCCAACTCTTGGACCATCTTGTAAACCAGCTTTTGAAAAGTAAGACAATGCTATATGTTAGCATTGACTAATTCTTATTCCCGGTCCGCCCCCATGGGCCCGGGGTGGTATTACAAGCATGTCAGTGCACGTCATTTTGGAAATTTTTGAGCCAGAACCTGCCCCCACTGGTGACTGGAGACTATAGGCTCATTGTGAGGCTGTGATGTCACATGTCTACAATCGTCACTATAGATGCATCCATATGGACATAAAGCCACCAGGCCAGATCTTAGTATACTTCTTGATGCAACTTGGTCTATTCTTTTTTTAATATGATTTATCTCAAACTTAAAAAACAGGAATCAATTATTGTAGTTTAGAGCATTTACATATTAAACATGAACATACATTCATACATACATTTAAATGTTTCAGTTTTTTCACTCCTGTCATAGCTCAAAAAGGAAAGAAGTCAAACTTATAAACTCCCAACTCAAATATATAAACTCACCTAAGAATACTTGCGTTACGAAGTATTCTTAGAGACAAACCCACACCATCAAATGAACACAGTTGTTATAGATTCACAGGAAAATGAGAGATCAGATCTGATTTATCTGCCTTGTTACTCTCCTCTTCCGGCAGTTTCAGAACCAGTTAATTATGGACACAGATTTATGATCGCAAAGGTGTTCATTTAGCGGAGAAGGCGGGAGTCCAGCAGAGGTGAGGACAAGGTTACATGCAAAGTTTGGAGACGATTATTCACGCGCGTCAACGTCCGACCTCCGAGCGGTCGTTAACATGGCTTGCCTGAGTCTGTGTTGGATCAGAAAGGTAGCGGCGTGTAAATATGGAAACGCAGATGCTAACACGGGACCAAGGAGGGAGGGTGACCTTAGGTGGAAGTTTGGTGGTAATTAATCCAATATCAGGACTTTTCGGGACGAAGATGGAGAAACAAGGAAGAGCACAGGCCAACCACGGTTCAATTTATTTGTGTATAGCCATAATTTCTTTGGTAAAGTCAGAGATTTTTTATTTAATATTAGATTAACTCCCTTATCATGCTAAAGCTAAGGACTTGCTTATCTTTATGCTAAAGCTAGAGATTTTATTTTAGTATCTGTAACCGGTGATGCAACACTGAAATTTCCTGACTATAGAATAAATTAAGGATCTCTCAATCTTAACTCACACAGCTGGTTTCTGAGAGGACATCAGAGAGAGGAGATCAGAGAATCAAACAGTTCAAACACAAGAATTGCAACAATAACAAACACAGAGCCAATAGTAACAATCACTAACCTTTTTAGTTTGACCAGAAAACTAAAATGTTACAAATCAATCAGGTTCACTTTTAACACCAGCATTCAGCTAAAGATAGATATCCACTCCTCACATGCTTTCACTTCCTGAGGTGTTTCTGCTTTAGTCTTATAGACCAGCTGTTAAGGATACACTTCACAAAAATATGCAATATGAGGTGATAATTGCTTGAATCGAGTGGTTTTTATCTTAATCTGAGTATATTCGGATTTAAAACAAGATTTGGGAGAAAGTCATTTAATCTCATTTCAAGAACTAATTTTCTCATTCCAACACTGCAAAAAGTGATGATAAATCTGTTTTAATCTGAGGTCATTTTTACTGCCTTTTGATTTGCCAATGGGACAAGGAAAAATATCTTGTTTTGAAAAGTTACAAGAAATGTCCCGTTTTTCAGTGTGTTAGCTTTAAATCTTAGCCTCTCTCAGACTGTAGCTATCGCCTTTAGCCGCGACAGTGTTTCATTAACTCTTTATTAACAGTGGGGGGTTGTATCAAGACGATGAGCTCCTGGAGTGGATTAAAATGAGTGGAGAAGTGAACGCGCCTCAGAAAAAGATCATGTGGAGAATATTAATTCCTGACTGATAATTATTGAAGCGGTGATGAGTCAAGCTGCTATTAACGCAAATCAAAACAAGTCATTCACCTTCTCTGGTTTATGCAGACGATACTCAGCGAAATTAGGCTTATACGAGATTTTAACCATAATGTAATAGGTTTCTCTCATCACTTCTTGTTTAGTTTGGGTGCAGTTATAGATTACAGATATAAAATTAGTTGCTGTTTGAAAAAACAAAAACAAAAACACATTGGAAAACAGACAGGTCCATCAGAAAGTCCATCCATCAAATTTTTCCCATTTTTTTTCTATTATATCGTTCATTTCTCATTTTTATGCTTATCTCCAGTCATTTTAGAGCACTGTGATTCTAACGCATGATTTTAACATTGTTTCGTGAACTTTGAGTTTCCTTGTGTATGAACTATGCCATACAGATAAACTTTCCTTGTCTTGCCTGCTCCACTTGCCATTAACTATTCAACAGACTTTAAAATATGCAGCAAATATATGGAGACAGACCCACAGTGGCTCTTTCAGCGGTCGCCATCTGAAAATTGGCTGCAGTGACACCAATCTTTTTTCTCAGTGTTATTCAAATCTACGACCTCTTGGTAAATCTGCACCGCATAAAAGTCGAGCACATAT